CGTAGTTGGCAAACTCCTGGGGGATAAAGAAAGAAAAGACTTCAGTAAAAGTGGACAGAAAAATAGAGAACATAGTTGGTAAACTCCTGGAAGGTAATAATAATAATAATAGAGAACATTTGTATAGCGCATATCCCCGCTCAACAGCCGGCTCTATGCGCTTTACACTATATTATTACCCCAGCAGACCATAGAACACTCCGAAACATTCTCAGCTTCCCGGGAAGCATACAGTGCAAGCAGCCGATTAAGCGCTCAAACACTTACAAACTGACAAGATCTTTCGCTGTCTATAGCCGGGTACCCATTCCCACCTGGGTGAAGTGAGGAAAATTCGTGTAAAGTGCCTTTCCCAAGGACACAACGTCGGGTCCCTGACGGGATTCGAACCCACGACCTTACGGTTGCAAGTCCGAGAGCCTAACCACTAGGCCACAACCACTAGGCCACCGACAGGTAAAAAAAGAAAAGATTTCGGTAAGAATAGGATAGAAAAATAAAAACAGAGGTGACTCAAAGACAGCAGAGAGCATCGATTTAATGTGTCAGCCCACAATAGAAACTTGTAGGAGTCACCGCTAACAGCATAAAAAGTGAAAGGAAAAGTCCCGATAATCGAAGAACTCTTCCCCCCTCCCATTGTTTCATGCACAATAAAAGAAAGTCGTGACTTCAGTGCTTTCTTGTCATATCTCCATTTTTAACAACAGTGAAGACAGTTCAGAACAAGGAGTGAGCTTAAGAAGAAGTCGCATTTGTCACTGATAAAAAAAATGGAGATACGACGAGAAAGCACTGAGGTGGTGAAGTATCTCACGTCTGGACAGATCTTCATCGTCTCGGCGCACACCCGCTGTAGGATGTGCAGAGCTGTCAGAATCAGCTCCTCCTCAAAGCCTGGGCTCACCACCTGGCCTGACGGCGTCTTTAGACTGCGGACAAACAAACCAAAAGTACTGTAGTCAATAAATGCATATGTGAGGCATCGTGGTGAAATCAGGCACTCGTCAAAATAAGCAATGTGAAGAACCTGGCATTTTTCTGCAGTTAGGGAATTTTTATCAAAGTTTTTTTTGGGGGGATCAACACCTTTCATGCCCAATAAAGAACACATTTCTGTGTGGATTTTACTGTAAAAAGATATTTAAAGGCACAAAAAAATGTAAATTTTCAGTTTCCACAGAATCAAGCTAAGGAAATAACTAATCTTTCGCAGCCATTTTCTCAATAATTTTACCCCTGAAACCAGGTGGCCCCCTACCTCCTACATTTGCAAATATCTCAACTTGTATTCAAGATAAATGAACATTTTTTTCATCCAAAGCAACATAAATGAACAAGCTTTAAGATGATACCTATAACTTTACAAGCCCAAAAATTGACAAGAGCCTGATTCCACCACATCGTGACACATATAGCAAATAAATGTTTATAACAAATTTGCATTTTAACATCATTTACGATAAGTTGTGCAAATATAATATATCAATAAAGAAATAACATATAAATAAACTAGTATTTTCATTTCAATAAGTCCTGAATGATTGATGGAAACGGAGTTTGAGGAAAAGAAAGGGTTTATGCAAAACAGGTCTCTTTTACTGGGAGTTCTTTCATTACATGAAGAAATATTAAAATAGGTTCATTAAAAAAAATTTAATGACAAGGTTAATGATGTACTGGTATATGCTAATTTTAGATTTCGTACCAAAGGAGGGCCCCAGCATAGTGGGTTTACCCCCCCTTGGAGATAAAGAGTTAATTAACTTATTTTTGGTCTACATCTACCTCTATTGCCTTCTCTTTTTCCAGTGAGAGTAAGATGTTTAAGGCCTCAATGTAAATTCAAGTGTTCTTGGAATTGCATTTGTCTCTTTCTAATTGGTTTTTAAAAAAATTTTTTGGTAGAGGCTTTATAGTACTCGCAACTGCATAAGGTCATATAAGCGCCAAGGGGTGTATGTCAACAGAGAAGTCCTTACAGGGAATCAGACTTACTCTGCTCACCTCTCTAGCTTCAACAGCACAAAGTTATCTTCTACTATCAAGGCACCCCGGAAATAGCGGTTCACAAAAGTGTGACAAACATACAAAAGTAGAGGAAAATGCTGATAGTAAGAACTATGAAAGAAAAAATACTTGTTTGTAACCGTGAGTCCATTGCAAGATTTGTTCAGCACTACCTCATTCAATTTACTTTCCTCCCACGAAATTCTAACACAACATCCCCCCCCCCCCCCTCCCCCCACCGCCGAAATAGACACTTCACTCACCCGACCAGACACCGGAGCGAGACTCACCTGGAGCCCAGCAAGATGAGCAGACGGGTGACCACGTCCCTGACCACCGCCGCCCACCCCCCGTCCAGTCCCTGGGCCAGCTCCCCCAGCACCATGCCCACAAACAGTCCATACATGTGCAGGGCACGCGCCTTCTCGTGGGGGCGGTGCTCACACCACATCAACGTGGACAGAGACAGCAAGACTCTCTGCAGGCCGTCCTGATGAGGGAGGAATGGTGGGGAACAGTGAGAATTATAATAATAATCATAATAATCATAATAATAATGATGGTGATAATGATGATGATGATGATGATGATAATAACAATAATAATGATGGTGAAGATAATAACAATAATAATAATAATAATGATAATAATAAAAATAACAATAATAAATAATGATAATAATAATAATAATAATAATAATAATAATTATAAGGATAATAATAATAATAATAATAATAATAATAATAATAATAATAATAGTAATAACAATAATAATAATAATAAAATAATGATAATGATAGTAATGATGGTAATGATAATCATAATTAATATTAATAAAAAATAATAATAAAAATAATGATGGCAATGATAATAATAATTATTACAATAATTGCATTTATATAGCACACATCCACGCTCTAAAGCAACCTCTCTGTGCAAGACCAATTGACTTCACTTAACTCTTTGACTACCAAGGGGTTTTCTGCTCTGTGACTAAGGCATTTCTTAGTCTTAGAATTTCAGAAGTACCCCTGTTCTTCTTTTGTGTCTGATGGGCATAATTCCATCTGGAAGTCAGACATGTTATATACCAAAATGAAGGTAATTGAATGTAGAATATTTTTAATCTAATTTAAAAAATTGAAAAAATTCATAAATCCAAACAAACATGGGAGGTAAGTGAACACAAGGGGAAAAAAATAAAAAAATAAAAAAAATATTTCCAACTTACATTTCCTACAGTGTATAGCTGCTAAATCCAATCACTTCATGACTTAGTCATACTGAAGTATATCTAATTGTCTCTAACTGGGCCAAGTTTCATGCACAATGGTCAAGTATATACAAAGTTGTCGCACTTTTGGTGAAATCACTCACAATGAAAAAAAGAGAAAAAAACGCACACAAGCCCCTCTTTGCGAATCTTCAATCTCATCGCTGTCGCTGCTGTCCGACTCAGGTCTAACTTCATCACCTCCTACATCACTATCGGAAAGTACTGACAGTTCCCCATCAAACTTTTCCAGGGCTTTTGAAGCAGAAAAACGTTGTGACGGGGGGGGGTGGGGGAACCTGATGGGTTATCAGCCATTTTTCCGTTGCTATGCGTGTAAATTAATTCGAGCAACATAGGGCGGGTCAAAAAAACAAGAAAAAATGCCAAAAAACAGCAGAAAAAAACACAAAAGGCGTTAAATTCCTTCACTGGTTGACTGATGTATGGTAAGCACAGCAGTTAAAAACATGAAACGAAAAGGTTGAGTCAAATTGTGGAAGGGAAAGGGAAAGAAAAGCGCGAGCCGATAATACGGCTTTTGGCCACGAACTAGGTGGTTATGGAGGCGATAGATCGGCCCATGGTAGTCAAAGAGTTAAACACAGTTAGAGTATAACATAGATGATAATTATATTATGCAAGTACACACAGAAATACAAATCATCGTTGTTGCAAGCAATCCACTTTAAGTCCAAATTTTTAGAACTTTCGATTTTTACACCCTCCCAAAGCTCTATCAACGATGCACCTTTCAGCATCACCAAAATGAAGTTTAATACTGTAGTCAATTGTTACAAATTTCCATACTTTTCACGATTTCCGATAGGAAAAAAAACCCACACAACAAAACCAGTTGTTTCTGGTGTAAAAAATAGCCAATGGGACGTAGGTAGATTGCCTGCGACACCGACGGGTTGGAGAAGCACCTACCGGGACTTTGGCCAGGACAGTGATGAGGGAAGTGCCCCTGCCGGAGCCGCCCTCGGCCACGGTGAAGTTCTGCGCCATGTAGTCCAGAGTGGCCTGGATGGTGCGCTGATTGTAGAATGGAGGATTCGGCTCTGGGTAGATCATGCTGATTGATATATAATACCACAAAATGTTAAATTCAGGGACGTTGAGTCAGTAAACAATAAAGAAATATTTTTTTTAAGACATAAAGAGAGTAACACATTTTTTAATCTAAAAACAAAAGGTTAAATTCAGGGACCTTGATTTAGTAAACACTTAAGGAATATTCTTTCAGTTTTAATAAAAGTGAATAACGCTTTTTTAATCTAACAATTTTACAACAAACAAATAAAAAATAGTAAAAGACTAAACATCTCAAATAAAATAAAAACTTTTTAAAAACCGAAAACGAATTCTGACGATGTTTCATTATGACTTTACAAAAAATGAATAACTAATTGTAAGAAACAAATGTACGCCTAACCTGGAGAGCGCCCCAGACGCTGCGTCATTCGAGATGTGCAAGGAGCTGAGCAGGCCCACCACAATACTGCCCAGATTTTGGAAAATGCAATCGTTGATGTCCTGTTGAAACAAACGTTGAGGGACCATGGAAGTACGGCTTATAATGTCCACAGGCTACATAGAAAAATAGTCTTCTATGCTTAGTTTAGTCTTAGTAAGGTTTTTACGGCGCTCGCAACTGCATAAGGTCATGGTGGATGTCAACAGAGAAGTCCAAACGGGGAATAGGGCTTACTCTGCTCACCTCTCTTAGTCTCTAGCCTCAACAGCACAAAGTCTGCTTCGACTATCTTGGTACCCCGGAAATAGCAGTTCACAAGAGAGTGACAAACATACAAAAGAAGTAGAGAAAAAAAAAAACCATAGTAAGGATGAAGAAAGAAAAAGCAGCAGTTCCCCCTATGTTGTTCCGGCACAGTATGAGGAGGAAATTGATAAATTAACCCATTTACAATTCTACCATGCATAAGAACATGTTAATATCCCCCCTCTTTGGGAATGCCCTAAAGACACTCCAGTCAGTAGCACTGCCCTGGGGGGGATTCTTATATGCTTTACCATAGTTTACATCTTAATCCAGCTTGTTGAGCACAGAGAAGCACGTCGACACAACAACAGCCACAATGTGAAGGAGAAAAGAAAAACAGACAGACAGAAAAAAAACAGGGGGAAAGTTAAGAAATAAAACCTATCAGCGCCTCCTCACCAACTTTTTCAAAACTTTCGACTTTTGGCCTGTTTAGGATATGTCTCAACAGAAAGATAGCCAGAGTGACACTTTACTTTCCCCAATAGCGGATCCAGAAGGTAACTCATATCTTTACATTCAATGAGAATGTTTATTTGTCTTTCAATTAAAAGACGCAATATTTCAGAGCTAAAATGTTGTCTCTGAAAAGAGAAGTTTTTAAAAAATGAACAAATATCAACCAGAACAATAACAAAATGAAAAGAAAAGGAAAAAGGAAAAAAAAATCTTCCAACAGCCGAGAAAGAAAAGATGTTTCTCACCATTATTTTGACTATCATACTATTGTTATTCTTATCATATCTAATATCATCCTTACCATAACAATTATCAATTTTACTATTGTCGTTATTGTTACCATTTCCATCATTGTTATCATTGTTGTTATTCTTTTATTTTTTCATCATCGCTATTATATTATCATTATTATTATCTATTAAATAGATACATAAATTTTATAAAATTGTGCACGGGTAAAAAAAAAAAGAAACCCCAACAGCCTACCTGTTCACTCAGTCTCTCCTTCACAATGTCGAAGCACTTGGCAGCTCTCTGAGACTGCCTGGCAGCCACCGAGGGCTGACTGGACGTCCCCCTCTCCTCCTCCATGACCTTGACTGCGAAGCACGGCAGGATGTGCACCAGGACCACGGGCAGCGCCCGCCTCAGGCTGGGCCGGACGTCGCACTGGACACTGGTCAGCAAACTCTCCAGGTCTGTCAGGCTGCGCTGGGTCACCAGGATCTCCGACACTATCAGGTCTTGGTTGGCCCTGGTTCATTTAGTGCATTTTATTTTTAATTTTAAAATTAGTAAGAGTTTTAAGGCACTTGCAACACAATAAGGTTATATAAGTGCCGAAGAATAGATTACGCGTTACAAGAGAGTAACATACGCAAAAAAGAAGGAGGGGAGATAAGGACAATAGATGTTTGATATGAAAGAATGAGCAAACCACACCAGAGCACCTGCCAACCAATCACAAAAAGGGTATTGTAGTATTTTTCAATCTTTGAAGAACGAAACAAATTACAGTAAAAAGCAATCTAAGCTTTGCGATAGTGTCAGTCAAAATAAACTGCATCCACTCCACAGCCATCATTTATACATTCCTCCAACTGTCCAACTCAGTATAAAAAAAAATGACATCCACAACAATGATGATGTCAAAAATGACGTCAACAATGATGATGATGACATAAAAAATGATGATGACATAAAAAATGATGTCAAAATGACATTAACAACGATGCTGACAGAAACAATGATACTAACAATGCTGATGATGTAAAAAATGACACTAACAACAATAACAACAATAACGACACCAATAACAAAGATAATAACAACAATCAGACAGACAATAACAGTGACTACATAAATGACATCGGTAATGATAATAAAGACGTCAATGACCCAAACAACGATGATGAAAACAACAACAATGACACAGACAACGATGATGAAAACAACAACAATGACACAGACAACGACGATGAAAACAACAACAATGATGAAAACAACAACAACGACCCAGACAACGATGATGAAAACAACAACAATGACACAGACAACGATAATGAAAACAACAACAATGATGAAAACAACAACAACGACCCAGACAACGATGATGAAAACAACAACAATGCCAACAACAATGACTACGCCAACAAACCTGACAAATTCATCCAGCGTGGTGTGACCCAGCAGACGGTAGGGAAACTCGGCCACGGGAGAGTTCACCATATCCTCCGCGAGCCAGTTGTGAACCAAGTACGGCAGGTGACACTTCAGGTAGTCCTGGGAGCTCGAGTAGCCCAGGTTCCCGCTGATCACATCCAGGGCCTGGGGACAGACGACTCCAAGGTCATTCAAGGTTCCGTATGTGGTTGGCGGGTGCTCTGGGTGTGCTTTGCTCATTCTTTCCTATCAAGCATCTATCAACCTTATCTCTCCTCCTTCTTTTTTGAGTTTGCTACTCTCTTGCAACATGGTTCACGAATATAGCTTTCTTTGTTCTAAATTTGGGATTGCCCTTCTGGTCATAGTCTTTGTTTTGTTGTTTTTGGTAACTGTTTTTCGGCGCTCGCAACTGCATAAGGTTATATGAGCGCGCAGGACAGACCTAATATTTTCAGTTGATAGGAAATTTTGAATTTTGCCCGGGTGGCGGCCGAAGCCTAGTCTTAATGATTTTAGACCACCAAGGGATCTTTAATGTGCGCAACTTGCACATGGGCCCTCCGAGATTTTTCGCCCTTTTCCAAGAAGGCTAGGTGTAGATCTTTCCTACCAGAAGATCAGGGGTGTGGCTGAAAGACAGCAGTAAGAAGAAGCGAAGGAGTAGCAGTAGAAAGGCTGCAGAAAGAATCAGGAGCCCAGAGGAAGGGGCAAAGGAGGTGAAGGGGTGGGGGCAGAAAGAGTAGACGAAAGCAGACGACAGAACATTGCTAGAGAGCAGGAAATGAGGTGAAAGGAGACAAATTTAGAGAAGAAAATTTTTCGGTCGCAACCCGGATTCGAACCCGGGACCTTTTGAATGACAGGCCAACACCTTAACCTTTAGGCCACGAGAGCCCCCCTTGGTCATAGTCTGTTTCAAACGAAAAATGGTTACTCTTCCAAATAGGCTTTAGTCCACTGCACACAAAAGTAGAGTCTTTGGTCACAAGAACGAAATTCTCCATACTGATGCTGTCGGCGTTAGGGATGGAGCGTTGCGTGCGCATACCGATATTATCGGCGTTAGGGCTGAGTGAGTTAAAGGTCAACATCCCCCCCCCTCTCCCTCCCTCCCATTCCTCCCCTGACTCAACAGAAATGAGCTTCTGTTACGTTAAAGTGCACTCACCTTGGCTAAATAGATTAGCCACACTCAGCAAAAATGATGAACTTCTGTAACGAAAAATATGTCCTGCAGGACACCCCCTCCCCCAACAAATACGTCCCCACTCAATAGAAATGAGTTTCTGTTATGTAAATGAGCATTTACCACGACAGAACAGATTAACCTTTAGTTTTTAGTTTTAGTAGAGTTTTTACTGCACTCGCAACTGCATAAAGTCATAGGAGCGCCACAGATTAACCACACTCAACAAATGAACACTTCTGTAACAACACAAAAAAGTGTGCTTACCTTTCGGGCCCGACTCAAGTGCACCCTCTCGTCGGCCACGACCTGACAGAGCGCCAGCAGACACGACTTCTCACAGATGGGGCTGCAGCAGATGATAGAGGTCAGCGTGTACAGACAGGCCGCCTGCTGGTTCCTCTCCATGTCTGCACGCCGCACGGGGCTCGGGCTACCCTTATGTGTGAAGCAGACAGAAAGAATTTCAGTTTTAAGGCGCTTACAACACAAATGGTCACACAAAATGGCTCGGTAAGAATTTTCATTCGGAGGCACTTACAAAACAATTGATCATACAAAATAGCTCTTTCAGAATTTTTTATTAACGCCAAATTTGCCTGCAAATTTACATTTTTCTAAACCAACGTTTTTCAGTAAAAATCCACATAAAAATGTGTTTTTAAAAGGACATAATAGTGATGAGCCAAAAAAACCCAACAGTTCCAGGAAACTGCTCAACAGGCTGAAACAATGTCGGCTTCTTTGATTTTATTATTCTGACGAGCGCCTGATTTCACCACGCTGCCTCACATTTGTGAGGTTCCTAGAGGGTGTCTCACACTGACAACAGCTGGTCTTGTTTTCAATCTGATAAAACCATTTCAGAATATCACATTTCTAAGACAAAACAATTCTGATAAATAATTTATACAAATCAACATCAGGGTTTAAAGGTTAAAATTTAAAAAATGTAATGATGTCAAAAATTAGGCTAACAATGATGATGATGACGTCAACAATGATGATGATGTCAAAAACAACACTAACAAAGATGATGACAGCAACAAAGACATAGATGCACAATTTAGTATATTTAAAAATAGGTCACGCTAAGTCATTCCCTAACAACACCATACAGCAATACAATACCCGTATATTTAGGAAGTCGTTGCATATCAAGAACAAATTGTCAAAGGCCTTATTTTGTGTTCTCTTTTCCTCCTGCATCTCTGTTCCATCCACAGCAAATTTTGTGAACAAACTGAAAAAAAGAAATAAATTAAATAAAAACCAAGATATATTACAAAAAATATGCAGATACTGAATGAACTGAAAACTTGAACGAGACAGCAAGGAAGCCAAATGAGATGGAACGCGATATGTGTACCAACGCAACAATCTAAGCTGCTCGTCATATTCAGGCATTCAAGATATCAGGCAAAACCTTAGTTTTCTCAAAACTCTGCGTTTTTGACTCCACAACTTTGAGCGAACATAATTTTAGCACCATAGATGCTAGGTTAATTACGAAAAAAAAAAAATACAGATCAAACAAGTCACGAAAGATTGTGTAAAAATGATGGTCCGATGTATGCATGCGTAGTTGAAATGTAGTTATGACGATTTTTTTTAAAAAAGGACATCAAACCACTTGCCAAAAAATAAACCTTCGAGCCTGAAGGGAAACACAACAGAATTACCAGTTAGTTTTTTAGCACCAATAACATGGTAGCGTGCACTGTACACTTCCAAGTAAGTAGAGATTGTTTCAGAATGATTTCAGGTCTGCTGGAGTTATAATATTATAGATTGCAAAGAGCATAGAGCTTGCTGCTGAGCAGGAAGCTGCACTGTACAAATGCTATCTATTGTATATCATTATTACTATCATTACTTATGATTATTATTATCATTATTATTATATTATCATTATTTCTATTATCATTCACATTGTTATTAAGATGATTATTATTATTGTTATTATTATTATTATTATTATTATTATTACCTGCTGACATTTTCTGCAACAAATAAGGAAACTTCCACGATTTCGTCTCTGAGAAAATCTGGGAACACCTGGGATACTGTGCACAGGCTGAACCCATTGGAGTCTCCACTATCTCCAGATTGGGGGACCTTGATAGTTCCCCACGCACAGGCTCTGTCATACTAGGGAGCAGGATTGAAGAAAACATGTACAATGCACTATTACTTCATTACAATGCAGAGAATGTCATTGAATATATCAACCATGTCAGACTAAAACAAACCTATTCAAAAATATTCTTTTTCATTGCCTACTCCTGAACTAGTTTCTGGGGCTGGCTTTGCCATGGTTTTCATCATCATCATCATCATCATCATCATCATCATCATCATCATCATCATCATCATCATCATCATCATTTATAAATATAAATGAAATGTTCCTGAAGAAGCCCTTTACCGGGCGAAACGTCGAACTTATTAAATTTGAAAAGTCTACTAAGTCTCAAACCCTTTTTTTATTCCCTGCTATCATCATCATCATCATCATCGTTATCATTATCATCATCACGCAAAAAGTTCAACACAGAGGTAACTTTGCTGTTATTAGTTCTCCTTATCATAACTAGTCTCTGGCAAAACTGCTACTGTTTGAGCACATTTTAAAAATCTTTCCACTGACAAACAGATCAAGATATGGAATAATACAAACTGAAAAAAAGAAATAAATTAAATAAAAACCAAGATATATTACAAAAAATATGCAGATACTGAATGAATTGAAAACTTGAACGAGACAGCAAGGAAGCCAAATGAGATGGAACGCGATATGTGTACCAACGCAACAATTTGAGCTGCTCGTCATATTCACGCATTCAAGATATCAGGCAAAGATATTCAGCTGTTCTGTACCTTCAAAAGCTCCAGATGTGTCTTGGCAAGATCCAGTTTCAATTGCACTGTTCCCTCTGAGGCTAAAGATCTGAAAAAAAAAGATTAACTAATGTTATTCTTGGAACTTCTAACACCAAACAAAAGGAAGAATACATTTCAAATAGTTAAATATTTGCAAAGAATCCATCATGTAAGACAAGACAGATCACATCACACTAATGGGGAACCGATACGAAAACTAGGGAATATGAAAGGTGCACCATCCACACTCATACACAACCTAGGAACATACACAGAGCAAAATAGGGAAACACGAGTCTGATTAGAGATTTTAAGGATGGTTAAGCTACAAAGTCAGTACTGCCGTAGTTAAAAAAAGACTTTCTGTCTCATTTCATTTTAAACAAATTGGGCACCCGTCACGGGTTTTTCGGGGTTTTTTTAATGTTAGAAAGGAGGGGGGGAGGGGTATAAGAGGATGTTTGCTTCCAACAGAAAATTTACAACAACAAAAAAGGAAAATAGAATAGCTCTTTCACTGCACAGAATTTTTTCAGCAGGTCTTCGCAGTTTCAATTAACATGGGATGGCCTAAAAAGTGCAGAACCTTTAATGGTAGTTACCCAAAATCTGTCATAAAGTTGAAGAACATATCTCGGCACAGCTTGATGTCAGAGCTGGGCATTTCTTCCTTCTCTGCAAGATGAGGGATCACCTTCTGTAAACACTGCAGGATAGCACAGCACACGCGCTGGTCTTGGGCCAGATTCTTGGCTGTCAGTCTGTAGACAGGAATTCAGGCACAAATTAAAGAAAACAAAAATAACCTCGGAACTCAGAAGCCAGACAAAGATAGAATCGAATCTGCTCTAACAACAAACCTGTCCAAGACAACTACCTGTACAAACAACCACTTCCCACTCCCCCCCCCCCCCCCCCCCCCCCCCCCCCCTACACTTTGTTCTTTTTATAATGACATTGCTCAAGAGGACCACCTGTCTAACATGACCAGACCCCTTCTTTTCTCAATAGCCATGAGCGATCATCTTGGACAAATTGTTCATGAATAAATGAAAGAAAATAAAGTAATTTCACACCTTGAGTCCTAACTGCACAAGCCAGACAAAGACAGTTTGACTGCACAGATTGATTGCCTCCATTGTTTGTTTTTTAAAACTTTTAGTAAGAGTTTTACGGCATTTGCAACACAATAAGGTCATATAAGTGCCGAAAAATAGATGCTACAAGAGAGTAACAAATATAAAAAAGAAGGAGGAGAGATCAAGACGATAGATGTTTGATAGGAAATAAGGAGAAAACCACACCAGAGCATCCACTATCCAACCCACCTCCATTGTTTGGGCTGTCTCGATTGACACATATTGTGCTCACAGCATTTACCCTGGGAACCAGTCAGCACTTCAGAAACAAAAGTTACTAAGAATAATGATCACTATCCAAAAATTGTAAACACTCCTGAAGACATGTCCCAGTTGTCGGCAAAGCTATTTTTGAACAATGGGATGAAAAGGCCAAGAAAATCGTACCCGCTCAAAAATTTAGTTCTTTCAGAAAAAACACGTTTAACCATTTCTCAAAAACAAATTGAAAGGACTTTATAATAATCCAAGTCTAATTATCTTTCTATTAGTTATTTTTACAACACGTACTTAACCAAAGGTTAAAAAATGTGCCAGAAATTGGATTTTTCACCTAACTTCCCATCTGCACATACAACATTCATTGATGATCCTGTGCTCTAATGGCATAACAGGAAGAAATGGGTAAGCTCTTTTTTTTTAAAGCAATTGCTGAGGTCAACCCACAGGTGCTCCAAAAAAAATCAGGAGTCAGTATGCACTGTAAATAGTACAAATGTGCTTTGGACTGACCTTTGCGCATTCTCTCATCATTTACATCTGAAGGCTTTTTTTTTTGGCGCGTTGAAAAGTTCTCAAGAACCAGTGACACATTTAGAGTATAACACCATGGACATATATGGGGATACGAGGTGAGGACATGACAACGATGGTATGAAACAATGAGAGAACGCCTACTTGAACGCTTTGAGCAAAGCCTTGACGTCTGCGCCGCTGATTACGTGGACCGGGGTGAGGACATGCTCCGTGATGGTGATCAGCTGAAGAAGAGGAAGCCAACAGTTAGTGACACTTTTTGTTCTGAGCCTTCCCCTTCCTTCCCCCCGCCCCAAAAGATCTCCGTCCAGTAAACTATACAAAGACTACAGGGGACATAATGCCCCCCACTCCAATCCAGGCAATAATAATAGCTCATCCATCAATGTCTGACTGATGTGAACAAAGATATATTGCACTTGATTTGGAGTCTATATAAATTGAAAAGTAGGCACCACGTCAGAGTAGTCCTACAATGGATTCCTACCCACACTGGGATACCGGGAAATGAAAGAGCTGATGCTCTGGCAAAGAAAGGAGCTAGTCTCCCTTAGCCTGAAATTCCTACGAATTACACCACCTGCTGCCAAATGATCAAGTCAAACCTCAAGGAAGACTGGATGAATGATTGGGCCACAGGTACGACAGGAAGGATGATGTATGGCCACATGAATAAACCACTGGTCAAAGATCCAAGCAATGAGTTGAGGAGGGGAGATCAATCCATAATCTTCCAACTTAGAACACAACATGTACCCCTCAACCAACATCTCAACCGAATTGGAGTAAAGCAGTCTGCTGCCTGCCCACTATGTGACTACCCCTCAGAGACAGTGGAACATCATCTGTTCTTCTGTAGAAAACTAACTGATTTAAGGGGATGTTTTCTTCCCAAGCTACCCCACACATCTAATTGCCTCTACTCCTCAAGACAACAATTAGAACAAACATGCAACTATTACCGAATGGCATCATGCAGAAGAGTTAACGCTCAGATGCTACTGGATCGCTAACAACAACAACAACAACCAATACATCCGCAGAGGAGAATATTTCTCCAGTCACATAGAAGAATTTGAAGAATTAAAGTTTATGATGACTTGTGGATTCTGCTGTGGCCGATGAGAGAAAAGTTTGCCACATTTTGAACATAGAGCATTACACCATACAAATACTAGAGGGGACAGGAAGGCAGCGTCACATTTTGGTGACCTGGAAGATTTTCAAGTTTTCAAAGTTCAGTGATTTATATCTTAAAGCAGGAGTCTCAAACTTGCAGCTATTCAGGCCCGCAGAAGGATATTTTGCGGCCCCGACTTGACATCAAAGTTAACGGTCAGTGCAGCCCTCATTCAAGCCAAATGTGGCAGAGCTCTATCAGAGGAAGCACTGCCAGGTTTCCGACAGCAAGGAGTAGTTAAAGGAAGCCAAGGTTCTGAAGAAAGGTCAACGTTTTATTCAGAACTGAGGTCAATAAAGATTGAGAAGATAAGATTAGAATTCATACTTCTTTTTTTTTAAAGTACTTGAAAGCTTTTTTTAAGGAATGCTTTATACAGTTCCCTGTCTTAAAAGATGTTCAATTTTCTCCATCCACTTTTACATGGACCCTGACGTTTTCTCCCTTTCAGAAGTTTGTTTCAATTTGCCTATTGTTGTACTCCAAAAATTATACCATTCTCATTCCACGATTATTTCTCCATCCCTTCATTTTAGTTTGTCAGAGCTAGAAGTTTTTATCTGCTCAAGCATCAACTCACTGTATGCACAAAAACCGGTTTGATCGGCTCCAACCCCTCCACCAAGGCAAACAGCTGTTCTTTCAGATGGCCGATGTCCATCTCTGCCCGCACCGGCACTTCCTCCGACTCGGATAACTGCCGGTCGTAAGAGATCAAGCCACACAGGAGTTTCACACAAGCCAGTCGAACCTTCTGGGCCTCCACAAGAAGATCCTCCCCAAGGAACTGGTGGTTGTCTGGGGAAAACGTTTCAACGATACAAAAATTGCAGTTTACAGGACATTGGCACATAGTTGTTTGTGTGCTCAAGTGAAGAGAAGCACATCACACACAAAGACAGGGAGACAAAAAAAAATGGGAAGGAAAGTAAGGAACCTAACAATAGTGGCATCATCCAATTACCTGAGGTACAATGTTGAGTCGCGCTGTCATTACCTGAAACTATCATCATCATTGCCGTTCTCAACCTGGAATCAGGGTATAGGCCACCAAACAACACTTGCCACATTTCTCTATCCTGGGCTAGCTTCTTGAAGTTATTCCATGTCTTCCCACTTTTCTGTCTATCAATTTCTGCGACTCTTCTTCAGCTTCCACAGGGTACTCCCCTTGATCTTTTACCCTGTGGGTTCCTTAAACTATATTGCAAAATAATCCCTTGGCAATTAACAACATTTTAAAGTGTACCACAGCAATATTTCAATCAATTTTCAAATCATGCCAAGTAACATTTTGTTACGAAAATTACGTCAACGAAAGTAGTAGTTCTTTTCAGATTTCATACAAAACAGAAATGTAGAGTAAAAAAAAATTTTTTTAAAGAAGAAAAAAAAAAGAATCAAGCTTTCCAAACTGAAAGTTACACTCACCATCTGCAGCTGCAGGAAGCGTTGTGTTGTTATTGGTCGAGGCGTCCCTCTCATCAAAATCCAGATCTGTGTTGCTCGCACCATTTCTTGGGTCCAGGTCCGCACGCTGAGGCTCCAGGTCAAAGTCAAGGTCATTTTCCCGTCCGCGATGACTAGAGCCCTCTCGCTGTTCGTTCCACTCAAACTGTCGGTGGCGGTCGTATCGGTTCCTGTGAGAAGATGGCCGCACTTCCCTTTTCTTCTCCAACTAAAACATTAGGATTCAAGATGACAAAAAGTTTGATTGGAGAGTAAATAATATAGATTAACTGATTAATATTATTTTTTAACAGAAAATCTAATGAATTTGCTGACTGGAACAGTCTACAAAACACAAGAAGGAAAGTGTTGGATTGGAATCCACAGGGTAAAAGATCAAGCGGAAGACCAAGTGGAACCTCAGAAGTGTCACAGAAATTGATGTACAGAAAAGTGGGAAGTTTAGTGTAAGTAAGCGTTTTACGGCACTTGCGACACAATAAGGTCATATAAGTGCCGAAGAATAGAGGTGTTACAAGAGAGTAACATGAACAAAAAAAAGGAGAAGAGATAAGGACGATAGACATTTGATAGGAAAGAAGGAGCAAACCACACCAGAGCACTCGCCAACCGCCCATAAATATGGGAAGACATAGAATACCATCAAGAGGCTAGCCCAGGATAGGGAAAGGTGGAAAGTGTTTGTTTGTGACCTATGCCCTGGCCCAAGGCAAGAAAGGCGATGATGAAGACTAATCTCTAAAATACTTCTCTCAAAAATATTTGGTCTGAGTCTGACACATTGTGAATCCTGTTTTATTAAATATTTCGCTTGGTAGAAAAATGAAAAAAGGCTGAAGTAAATTGACAATCCTTTCAGAAGTCGCAGCTCTTACCTTTCCACTGGCCATATCAACCACGAGATCCACAAAAGCCGCGGAGAGGTCACAACGAATGACCTCCACAACCCAGAACATTCGCATAGAGGTCATGCCCTTGAACCAGAACATTTCGTGAAACACCTTGAGAGCCGGCAGCAAACCACAAGTTCCTTTTTTCTTGACATAGTTCACGAAGTGGCCTGTGCATTTCTCCAGAGCGACCTTCACCAACTGTTTGAGTCGCGTCCCAGGCACCCCGTCCGGGCCCACGTAGAACAGTAGCTTCACTACAGTACAGCTGTACCATGCCAGAAACTCGATCGTCTCAACCTGGAATGAACAATGTCACACTATAGAAATAATACGAGAGGCAGCGTAGTGAAATGAGGCGCTCGTCAAAATACAGAAATCGGAGAGCCTGATTCCACCGCGTCATGACACATATTATGATTAATAATGCACAACTTTTATATTTTATATTGCCCTCAGTCCCGATTACAGAACACAGGCTCTAGGCAGTTTACAAATACAATAGCAACACAAAGAGTATCTTGAGTTCGGATTGAAAATCTAGACATATCTCTTCAACCTAAAAACAGGAATGATTAGAGCTGACCTTAGAGTAAAAGATAACCATCTTGTCTTAGAATAATTTCCAATACTGTATTGGAATGTAACCTTTAAAAAAAAAGAGAAATATAGACAACATACATATAAATGGAATATTACAATTACATAACATTTAAAAATAGGAAGACCACAAAATATTTCCAGAATGTGAAATTTCCAGAAAAGGAAAACCCTCTGAAATACCATTTAAAATTGAAAAGTAGCCTCAGCTGCCTGTAAATAAAACAACAACATGTGTGTGTGTGTGTGTGTGTGTGTGTGTGTGTGTGTGTGTGTGTGTGAGCCACCACATGTATAAGAGCAACATCATGCATACATTTAGAGTTAGAGCTTGTTATTCTTGGTTCAAACTAACTCAGGCTGGCATAAAGCCGTTGTTTTTACTTACGGAAGGTTCCAGAAGCTCAGAGAGGGATCTTGAGATTGTGCCGAGGGTTTTGAGAACATGTTCCACCACACTGTCCACCTGAGGGTTGTTATCTTCCGACTCTTCTCTTCTTCTTTCTCTACTACCAACAGATTTCCTCGACTCAGCCGAACTTTTCAAGGAACCAAACGCCGTTCTCAGGTGCACCTTCTCAATTTGAGAAATATCTTCCTCCTGGTGGTTATCCTCTTTAAACTGTTTCATCACCGTCAGAGGATCCTGGAGAGCAAGGGCATAGATGAGTTGAGCAGTCCTGGTGGGAGTGAGGTTCCTCGCAGACGCTTCGAGATTTTCCGCCATGGCTTGGGAGAGAAGCCAGTTAACCAGGAGTGTGCGGAGAGGGAAAGCGCCCTGCGTCTTCGACATTGAAGACGAACCCAGTATATTTGGACAGTAGTTTTCTGCGAGACCTTGCGAGTGGACGAGAGCTGTCAGAAGACCGTCAGAGGAGGGACTTGGATGACTGAAGTTGGGCAGGAAGAGGTTCCAGATTTCCTTCCCCGGACGCACCAGGCCTTGAAACAACATGCCCGCCATCAGCTGGAAGCCAAAGTCCTGGTAACCTTCCACCTCGGCTTGGCGGGAGTTGATGGTGCTGAATAGGAAGAAAGCAAGAAAAATAAACCAGCTTTGCTTATCACAGAGAGGAAATTTGGGAAATGAAGGCCGACAAAAAGCCAAAATAATCTAGACACAAACAATTTCACAAGGCACAGCACATCATATGACACATAAAATCAACAAGAAGGTAATTCCATAAACAAATGAAAGTGCAGTGACACATGTAATATGAGGATGAAAATAGACAGATTCAAGACTTAAATTTAAATCATTTGAATTGATGCTATCATAAAAATGATCAGCATCAATCTTTTACTCATAGAAAGTCAAAGAGTGGGAACAAATTAGCAACATCATTGTGAAGCGTTAGCTGAGATAACGCCTTCCTGAAAAAAAGTTGGCAAGTATTTTTGGGGAGGATGTAAAAGAGCATCACTTGAATAACAATTCAGAAATTGTTTCATGGTAGTCTACATTCATTTCGTGTGAATTTGACCTGCATTATCACATTGTATAATTCTGAATATAATGGAAGATAACGAAGCATGCCCCTTGAGTTGTTTAACAGTACAACTTTTCTCTCAAAGCAACCCCCCCAAAAAACTAATTTTTTAATGAGGCAACAAGTAAGGCCATACCCACTGCAAGATGACCACACCGAGAGCCAAATCTTCTCCGTCTCGCGGTCACTTGGTACGGAAGCATCAGTCAGGGCGGACAGACATTCAAACACATATGTGAACAGCTGGCCCCTGCAAAAGATGAACAATTCACTCTGACTTAATCAACTAGGTACGTCTCAGTTTGACCATCTACGTTATTTACAACTCTTAGACGACATCAAAAACTAAAAGTATCCAAATATTTTCATAGCAAAGTACCTGTTAATGCTTGTCTTTAAAAACAACTTTCATGACATGTACAGTTCTTTTATGATCCTGTAAGTCATGTATACAATGATATTCAAACAAAGGAAAAAAGGAAAACACTTGAAAGTTAACAAGGACAATAAAAATAATGTAATCTTATTTTTACCAGAAGACTTACAAATTATTATTATGATACCCAAGAGACAAAACACAAAGGTAAAGCTTAGTCATACTCTAAGGAAGTCAGGCAGCTGCACAAAAAGGAAAGTGTTGGATTGGAATTCACAGAGAAAAAGATCAAGGCGAAGACCACGTGGAACCTGGAGAAGAGTCACAGAGAATGATGTACAGAAAAATGGGAAGATGTGGAATAACATCAAGAGGCTGGCCCAGAAAAGTGAAAGGAGAAAAATGTTTGTTCATGGCCGAAACCCTGACACAGGGTGAGAAAGGTATGGACGACGAGGATGAAAATTTAGTCTTAGCTCACCCAGAATTCTCTCTTTCCTCACCTTTTACATTCGTGAAGTAGCAAAGCCAGAACTCCCAGGGCGTTGACCAGCCCATTCCTGCTGAACGACTCCGAGTGACGCCGCAACAACGCACACAGAATCTGAAGCCTGAAAACATAAATTTTATAACAAAGTCAAGAACTTGAAGCCTGAAAACATGATAACAAAATCAAGAGCTGAAGAACCGTGCCTAGCAGCTATTACCGAATGGCATCATGCAGAGGAGTTGACATTCAGATGCTACTGGGTCGCTAACAACAACAACAACAACAACAAGCACTCTGCCTTCTATTTAGTTTTAGTAAGAGTTTTACAGCACTTGCAACACAATAAAATCATATAAGTGCCGAAGATTAGAGGCATTACAAGAGAGTAACAAACACAAAAAAGAAGGAAGAAAGATCAGGACGATAGACATAGACACTTGATAGCAAAAAAGGATGGGAAACTTGTTATTCTTCTCGAGACAAAATATATAAAGTTTAAACTTGAAAACATTGTACCAATGCATACGACTTGTATCAAAAGTGTGTATTCCACAGCTGGACTACTACATTTTTTAGACAACATTTTATCAACATGAGATCTTTTTCAAGTGCCAAATCTGAAACAGGCATGGGCCATCAAGGTTCATCCATCATTTCATGCTCGGACACTCTCAGAACAGCTATATCATCCTGGAGTTTCCCTCATCACCCATCTGTTCAAGTCATCGGAGTATCATCCTGGAGTTACCCCCATCACCCATCTGTTCAAGTCATCGGAGTTTCATCCTGAAGTTTCCCCCATCACCCATCTGTTCAAGTCATCGGAGTAATTTATTCTTGGACTACCTCTGCCTCTTTTACCTTCTAGTTTTCCAGTGAGCGCACACAATGTCCAACGCCTTAATGTCAATTCATGTGCCCTAGGAACTACCTTTGTCTTTTCCTAATTGTGTCTATTAAAATATAAAAAATCAGTTACAAATCAACAAATTATCAGGCGCAGGCTCATATGTCCATATGCAGTTGTGAGTACAGTAAAACACTAACAAACCCCCCCCCCCCCCAAAAAAAAAAACCCAACATCCCCCCCCCCCCCCCCCCCCTCCCAAATAAATAAAAACAAAATTTTTGTTTTTATTTTAGTAAGTGTTTTATGGCACTTGCAACACAACAAGGTCATATAAGTGCCGAAGATTAGAGGTGTTACAAGAGAGTAACAAACACAAAAAAGGAGGAGGAGTGATAAGGACGTTAGATGTCTGATAGGAAAGAAGGAGCAGACCACACCAGAGCACCCGCCAACCACCAACCAAAAAAAACAAATAAAAAATTTGTTTTTTTATTTTTTAAAAATAAAACCTATTTAAAAACTCCAAACAACAAAAAAAAACCCCAAAAATCACCAGGGCACAGCTTGCAGTGAGTTGGAACAAGTCTTGACGAGCTCCACGAGAGGCTTGTTCTCCACCGACAGCCTCTGTCTCTTGGCAGGCGTCGCTCCCGCTCGGTCGCCCATCTGGGACACCTGCGTGAACGCAACCACTTCCTCTGGGGACGCTGGGATGAGGCCCGGCAGCTACAGGTGTCCGGAGAGAAAGTAACGGAGAAAGTGTTACAACTTCCGGTAAGATTAGAGTGTTTTTGTTTTAGTAGAGGTTTTACGGCGCTCGCAACTGCATAAGGTCATATGAGCGAGCAACTGGACATAAAAAACGTTACATCTTCAGGTAAGTTTAAGTCTGGATGAGCAGCTCAAAGTGTCCAGAGACAAAGTGATGTAGAAAGTGATACATCTTCCAGTAAGGCTAAAGTTGGGATGAGCAACTGGACAGAAAAAGCGTTACATCTTCTGGTAAGTTTAAGTGGGGATGAGAAACTGACATAGAAACTGTTACATCTTCAGGTAAGGGTTAAGTGAGGATGAGCAGCTAAAAATGCCCAGAGAGAAAGTGATGAGGGAAGTGTTACATCTTCCAGTAATCTTAAAGTGGGGATGAGCAACTGGATAAAAAAAGTGTTACATCTTCTGGTAAAGCTAGAGTGGAGATGACCAGCTAAAAGTGCCCAGAGAGAAAGTGACAAAGAAAATGTTATATCTTCCATGGTCAAGAAAGAGTGGGGATGAGAAACTGAGCTGACCAGACGAAAACAAAGTGACATAAAAAGTGTTACATCTTCCGGTAACGCTGAAGTGGGGATGAGCAACTGAGCTGTCCTCACAGAAAGTGACATAGAAGGTGTTACATCTGGTTAATTTAAGTGGGGATGAGCAGCTAAAAGTGTCCAGAGCGAAAGTGAGGTAGAAAGTGATACATCTTCCTACAGGGCTAGAGTGGGGATGATCAACTGGACATAGAAACTGTTACATCTGCCGGTAGGGCTAAAGTTCAGATGAGCAGTTCGAGGTCTGACCATCAATGATTTATTTATAGCAGTTCGAGGTATCCAGAGGGAAAGTGACATATAAAGTGTTGCATCTTCTGGTCAGGCTAGAGTGGAGATGAGCTATTGGACATATAAAGTGTTGCATCTTCTGGTCAGGCTAGAGTGGAGATGAGCTATTGGACATATAAAGTGTTGCATCTTCTGGTCAGGCTAGAGTGGAGATGAGCTATTGGACATAAAAAGTGTTACATCTTCCGCAAAGGATAAAGTGGAGATAAGCAATTGGACATAAAAAGTGTTACTTCTTCTGGTCAGGCTAAAGTCAGGATGGGCACCTAAAAGTGTCCAGAGACAAAGTGACATAGAAAGTGTTACATCTTCCAGTTATGCAGGAATGAGGCAACGCAGCTAATGAGCTCAGACAGAAACAAAGAGACGTAAAAAGCGATAGTATTTTATATCCTCGAAAGGAGCACCCTTTTCAGTAAAGATAAGCACATTGACACAATAATGATCATTAAGCGAGGCAACATGCAAGACAGACAGACAGACAGACAGAAACAACAGAGGGAAAGAAAAGAAAAGTAGAACTGACCAGTGACACACTTCAACCACCCATGACGATGCAGTTATAGGGACAGGCGACTGCTTTTTTCAGCAAAACAAACCCACATGAAAAGTATTAGTAAAACAAAAGACGCTGTAGGATATCTTAGTTTAGAAGCTTACGCCTTCGGGCTAGCAAGAAAGGGTGGCTTCCATTCTCAGTTTTTCAACAGAAGACACTTTACTCTCCTCACTTCTTCATGTAGGAAAAGACTACGTGTCAATCAGAAGAGACAGAAATATGTGACCTACAGGCTACACCTCAGGCTGTTAGGATACATTCCTTCCCCCCTTGAAAAGGAAAATTGGAACTGAAAAATGGAATAAACAAGCTGGCTTTAGAAGTTATGGCAAAGTTTTGTGAACGTTCTGTCACACACCCTGGACTTTCACCTTAGGACCTGAGATAAAGAGCAAATGGACACACGCAAAACCCCACCTGTCAGTCATAGTCCAAAGAAAAGAATTAGAACAAAACTAAAAGCTGGAATAAAACACTATCAAAAGATCATTTTACGAGCATTCTTTTTTTTAAAAGTTTAGTCAGATATGTTCTTCAGGTAGGCAAAAACCGGTTGCATCAGTTTCTTGATAACCCTTAATATCATTAACATAATTCATCGGAGCAAGACTCCATGTTACAGAATTTATGCCCCAACAGTAAACAGTAAAACTAAACCTTAACAACCCACCTGCTTGAACACAGCAACTGCTAGGTCTATGTAGCGCTGTTTCAAAATACTGACTTTCAAACTGAAAACAAATACAACATTATATTTATGAAAAGAAACTACAATTTAGAAATTCAATCTGAGTAAGATTATAAGACTACGTAAGTACAATAAGATATTCAGTCTGAGTAAGATTATAAGAGTAAGTAAAAGTACAATAAATGTTTATCCACAGTAGGTCCCGATTGGGGACAAAAGTAGACACCATAACGTCACAGTAGAAAATATACATCACTCACAGCAGTGACAATTCAAAATTCCACAATCAACGAACAAACACATCTGTGTGGTATGAGAAACAAACGAGACACTCATTACACTGCTAAAAACACATTAGTTCTTTATCATGATCAAAATGTGAAGAAGAATCATGAGATGTCATAAGTTCTTTATCATGATCAAAATGTGAAGAAAAATTACGAGATGTCGGCCACTGTCTTGGATAGAGTCAGCAACAGCTACAATTCACCAAAAAGATATAGGGATGATGACAGATAGCAACACTGAAAAGAAATGGAAGGAATGGACTATACATGGATGCTCCACAAAAATATTGGCAAACTGCCCTAACTACTAAACGAGGATAGTTGTGTAGAGCCCACACTACTCTAAGGTATTGAATTAAAGAGGGGGATGGAATAAACGAGGGGGGGAGGGGTGGACAAGTGGTCCAAAATTAATAAACGGAGGGATGGAATAAAAGGGGGGGGGGCTGGCACAATCAACCTCACACCCCTGTACTAGTAGGAACAAATCTGTTTTATTTCTCCTTCAGTGAATAAAAACAGAGATCATGAAATTTTAGTGAATTTAGTAAGTTACTGTGACAACTTTTCCCATTTAGGAACAAACCAGTTTCATTTAAAAAACAAAAACCACTGTACAAAAGTTTTTTAAATGCACAAAATTGAGGTAGCCAACCTGGTACCAGTACTAATACTGAGGGTAATTTGCTATTTACAAAAAAAGATAAGTTTCATTCAGATATCTAGATTTTTTATACAATGTTTCACATGATCGTCAATCGTGGCAAGCTGGAAAATTTGGACACTAACATTTCTCTTTTTCTTTCTTTTTTTTTTGAAGGTTTTGCGGCCCTCACAACTGCGTAAGGTCATATGATCACCAAGTGATGGGTGTCAACAGACAAGTCCTTACAGGGAATCAGACTTAGACAGCTCACCTCTCTAGTTTCAACAGCACAAGGTCTGCTTCAACTATCAAGGCACCCCGAAAATAGTAGAGGAAAATGACAATAGTAAGGATTAGGAACGAAAAAGCAGCAGTTCCCTGTTGCAGATCAGGCACAGTTATGAGCATGACATGATGAATCAGCCCATTTACAATTCTACTCACGGCGTCCGAAATTCCGTCTCAGCGATCTTTTAGTTAGTCCGGGCCCCCCGCGGTAGGCCATAAATTAGCGGCAGGTGACCTGCAATTTCACGCGTCAAGTCGGGGATTGACCGGGGTCAACTCGTGCACAGTGCTGTCGTATCTTGTCCTTATCAGAAAGCCTTTCTTCCCCTAATTTCATGAGCCGTAAAATGATGCTCACTCTACCCACAGAACCTATTTCTTCACCAATTCCGCTTCGTCTACGTCTTCTTGATATCTTGTGAAAGTTTCAACAGTTTTCATTGATTCGTTTGGGAATAATAACAGTTTTAAATTGTGAGTGTTATGTGATCGGAAGCGCCGTTAATAATGTTATCTCTTCAAATTTAATTACAAATCATTCGAGAATGGAACGATGGTCTTTATTTCTGTTTGCGTGGTGTGATAGCCATCAAATCATATTTTCTAATGATGTGAATTTTGTTTTTCCAGCACTTTGCGGTGACTGGAAATCAGTTAGTGAATTGTGTCCCTAAGTAAAAATCGTTAAAATGCAATGGGTCAGTCACACATATGAGAGGCATAGACTCTCTGAATGAACTTTGTCGTGTGTGTTGGCGTTTAAATTTAACTGTCAAACAAAAAAAGTGCAGAAAGCCCCGATTATGTAAGACAATGGCAGGAGATATTCTCTTGGTTTATGGGATTGATGTGAGGGACGAAAATGAACAGTCGTATTCCGCTAACATTTGTGTCAAGTGTTTTACCGCGATTTCAACTATCAAAGGGAGATATGGTGTTACGTCACGTCAATTTATGCCGCAAAAAAGCAGTTGACACTAGTAGGAACATGTGGTGTGCGTTTGACAATAGCATAAATGTGAATTCCTTCTCCATTTTGTCGGTACCGCTTAGGTGGCTGCATACAAAGATCCATTTCAAGCTAACATCGTAAAACACCCCAAGCATACCTCCCCCCATCCCCATGTATGTAAGGAACTAACAAACACAATGTATACAGAAACAAGAAAATACTCCCCCGAAACTGCAAAAATTGAGGAGGCAAGTGGACTGGAAGCAATATTCAATCTTCTCAATGAAAGATTTAGCCATGTTCACACTGCAATATCACATCTGAAACCGTCAAACAATTTTCACTTCCAGAAATCTCCGTAGCAATCGACAATTACATGTCCGCATTCAGACGCTATTTCCCCACAAAGTTATCCCAAAGCCACACATATCATAGCAACACTGTATTCCACACATACAACAACACATGTTTGCTCTCGGGCTTTTAGGAGAACAGGACACAGAAAGCAGCCACCAAGAGATCTCAAAACTGGAAGCCAGAGTATGAAGGATCCCAAACCAGATAGACATGCGTTTTATTTTTGTGTCGCATCTCCTGCAAATAGCTCCCTCATTGCGTGCTGCTGGATATGTTTAGAAAGAAAAATTATATAAATTTATAGTTTTATTCTGTACGTGTTCATTTTGTGAAAAGAAATCGGTGCTGTATATTGAAGATACGTCAGTATATCATTATTCAGGAGGATACACAATCCATTGGATACAAAAAGTCATGAATGCAGGGAAGCGTTTTGGCTATCATGCTCATGACAAGTTCCATGTTCGTGCTGGAAACAAAATTTTGAGTGAGTTAATTTCTAAACACATTTTCCTGTCTTACGTGGCAGTTTTGTAAATATTTATCGTTAGGCTTATAAGTTATTAGCCATTCAATATGTGTTTGTTGTTTTGACTAACTATAAATAGACATACATTTTAAGAGCATCTAACTCAAAAACGTGAGCAGCCATGGTATTGCTATTTCGTACCAATAAAGAGGTTTAGTTGCTTTCTCTAAAGAACAAACTTGTGTTCACGTATGATATTTTTTGTTTGTGTAAGACGATAAAACATGTGTTGAAAAATTCATTTCACCGACTACCGACGCAGGTAGCGGGAGGGCAGGTTAGTGACCTCTGGGTGACCGGCCCGCCGTGACCCGGTCACTCCATCGCCGATCCAACTAAAAGAGCGCTGTCTGTACGCCGTGTACTATGCTTGAATGAGAAATGTCCCCCCTTTGGGAATGGCCTAAAGACAGCACAGTCAGCGGCACTGCCCCCGGGGATATAACATTTTTCTTTGTATGAACGGAAACAAAATAACAGGAAAATAAGGCGACATACAAAAAAAGACATGCCCTTCAACCAACAAGAGCTATCATAGGTTGTTTTTTTTAATAATCTGAACAAAAACATACCAAATAGGGAAAATGGAATAATTTTAGGGTAAAAATATGTTGTTGTTGGGGGGTTTCATTTATGGTGAGGCAGCAGAAACAAGTCAGCTTAGTTTTAGTACAGGTTTTACAGCGCTCACAACTCCATGAAGTCATATGAGCGCCAAAAGATTAGAGGTGTTACAAGAGAGTAACAAACATAAAAAAGAAGAAGGGGAGATAAGGACCATAGATGTTTGATAGGAAAGAAGAAGCAAACCACACCAGAGCACCCGCCAACCACCCACAGAAACAAGTCAGTGCAAAAGAAAAACTAAAAAGATGAAGAAACAGACGTCTCAAGTTTCAGTCCAAGTTTTACAGCTCTTGCAACACAAATTGGTCATATAATAAAGGCCGAAGACTAGAAGCATTACTATAAGAGAGTATCTTTTTTTTTAAAGAGAGAAGATAAGGATGATAGATGTTAAATATGAAAAAAGGAGCAAACCACACCAGAGCACCCACCACCCACCCACAGACTACACCAGGGAGCCTGCAAACCAAGCAGTACTAACAACGGCAAATCCAAGATAAAAGAAGCTACAGTTCAAGATAACAGCAAAAGGCATGAGGACTATCAGATCTTAACAAAAGATACTATAAACCTTTGCTTACCCGGAACTGAATCTAAACCTGCCTCCAGTTTCGTTTATGTCAGCAACGATTGACTCGTGTAAAGAAGCCAGGTGTACCTGAAAAGAAAATAGTTATGAGCCTCACTGCAGTTTTAGTTATAGTAGAGGTTTTACGGCGCTCGCAACTGCATAAGGTCATATGAGCGCCAGAAGATTAGAGGTGTTACAAGAGAGTAACAAACAAAAAAAAGAAGAAGGGGAGACAAGGACGATAGATGTTTGATAGAAAAGAAGAAGCAAACCACACCAGAGCACCCGCCAACCATCCACTCACTCACTCACTGCAGTTTAACCTCACACACTGAGGGGGGTTATTGCATTTTCTTACTAGTGTGCAAGACAATGGCCATATTCTGTCAGGAACAGAATGAAAAAAACAACCCAAAATGAGGGAAACAGCAGAAGGAACAGACCACACTAGGACGCATCGTGTAGTCCACTACTACTTTAGACTATTCAGATCAATTAAACTGACGCTGTTTCAACCCTAATTGTCAGGGCCAAACCTACCCGCATGAGACATCTCTCAGCAGAAAGTCGAAGAAATTCCACAAAATTTCTTCACCCCACAGGCATCAAATCTGTGCCTTTGTATTTTTAGTGTAAGTAAGTTTTTACGGCACTTGCAACACAATAAGGTCATATAAGCGCTGAAGATTAGAGGTGTCACAAGAGATTAACGAACACAAAAAGAAGGAGGGGAGATAAAGACGATAGACATTTGATAGGAAAGAAGAAGCAAACCACACCAGAGCACCCGCCAACCACTGTGTGCAAGGTCAAAAGAGTGACTAGTACACCACAGATACCAGTAAGTAAATCAGTGAGAAGGTGAAAGAGCGACAAAAGTCAATCAAAAAACAACACAACAATCACACATCACACATCCCGCCACACATCATTTCAATCACAACCACACAATCAAAATCACACATCACAGTCACACATCGCAATCACACTTCATACATCACAATCACACATCAAACATCACAATCACACAATCACACCTTCCAGCGAGTCCAGTCATGAGCATAAGCTCCCTCTCCCTCAGTGGCGGCCCCAGCGGGATGATGAACCAGCACCAGAAGGTGAAGGAGGTCGATCATTTCCTCCTGAAAACATTCCAACAGATTCAGTTTTAGTTTTAAGTTTAGTAAGAGTTTATAGGAACCCACAGGGAGCACGAGGCAGGGGTAGGCCACGAGAGACATGGAGGAAAGGGACATGAGAGAGATGAAGCTCACTTGGAACAAGCTAGGAAGGGTGGCCCAGAATAGAGATAAATGGAAGGAGCTTGTATGTGGCCTATACCCTGCCAGGGGGGAAAGGCATTGGTGATGAAGAGTTTATACCGGCACTTGCAACATTACAAGGTCTTGGTTGAAATTTTATTTGTCTTCCATTTCGTTGAAATTAGAGTAGAGATCACCAAGTTATTACCCTTTAAGTGGTACCTCACTTTTTTTTTTAGACATCCTTTAGTAAGCGCTTATGGCATATGCAACACAATTAGGCCATATAAGTGCCGATGATTAGAGGTGTTACAAGAGAGAGAAACATACATAAAAAAAGAGGTATCAGAAATGTTTTATAGGAAAGAAAGAACAAACCACACCAGAGCACCCGGCAACCACCCACAAACAACAGATTTCTACAACTACAAGATTATTCTACTGTAACAAAAACAAAACAAAACTGGAAAAATTACCTTGACCCTCTCTGTGCTTGCATTTTGCCACAAATACAACAAGCCATCCAGGTGACTCTCAGCAAACTCACACAGCTGAGCAGGACAGGCTGGGGCTATAGCATGGCAAAACGTGGTCAACGACGACAAAACATTCTCCACGATTGACGCAGCCTGCAAGTCTCTGAAAAATAAAAGACGTATCATACGAACGAATATGGGACCTCGTAAATGGGACCACAGCATACAATTTCAAAATCCAGAGCAATAAAGCAAATTTCAAAATTCCAGGAACAATTCAGGTTTTAAAACTTGTAAAAAAAATAAATAAATAAAGGGCTATAAACTCAATCATCAACTCATTGTGGCATTTGCGTTAGAGAAAATAAAGTCAGCAAAACTGAAGCCATATTTTCCCTCTAAAGATAACTATGCTACTGTAATGACAATAGATAACACTTATAATTTCATTTAAGGTGACCTGCTGAACAAAATTTAATATTTTTATTGTCATCGAGATGGGTAGAAACTGATCAGTCCAAAATTTACTTAACTTTTCGCGGGCTATACAGATTTGGACAAATACACTTATTCAATTGTAGATTAGTACACATAGTAGAATGACTCACCATTGAAAGGTACCCCTTGCGGAAAATGACGGAGCAAATAAAAATTATGGATTTCTGTATATTTACGGACAAATTCCATCCCAGTAATTACAAAAGACACAACACTTATTCTTTGTTTCCTGAAAAAAAGGAAAGCAGAACTCACGAGCTCTCCACAAAAGACAGTGGACCTGAACTACTCTCATACTTCCCACTGGATATCTTAAGGAAGGTAATTTGTCTTCCCAGCTCATTCACAACTCTAGGGAAGTCAACCACTTACCTGAAATGTTGCAAAACTCTGGAAAAAAAAGAGAACAGTTTGCGTGGAGAAACTTCTCCTTGCAAAACGCTGCCTTGTATCAACTTCTTGATGACTTTTGCACACAGATCCTGGCGTAGAAACCCTTCCTCATACAGTTTGCAATACAGCGTCAGCAGATCTGGAAGACGAGAGTTTAAAAAATAAGTGGGGTTTTTTAAAATAAAAGTCTAATCCAAACACAGCGAAACAGATTAAATCACTATTAAACATCAGGAAAGCAAGAAAACAACAATCATTAGCCACAAGCAAGAAAATGACACATAAATACAGTAGAAAAAAAGGAAAGTTTGATTTCGTCAGGACTAGCCTCGGTAGTTCGAGGGACCCGTAGTTCGAGGGATATCATACAAAGATAAAGAAGAAGAAAAAACGGAGCACAAGCACAGTTCGACGGATGCGTGATTTCGGGTCTTCTTTGTTTGACCTATCCATGTTATATGGTATAGCAGTTAAATCATACTATACTGAGCTTCTCAATGCTTAAGTAAAAGATGCAATGACTTATGAGAGCTGAAAACTGTTCGCTTTCTGATATACGACCCTATGTCATCCGACAGTGGTGGCCCCTGATATTCTTTAAAAAACAATTCATTATGTCCACTTCCCTTCATACATCTACAACCACTGTTATTAAGTCACAAAACAAAGCATACATTTAAAATTCCTATAACTGAAGTATGATCATAACAATATACCTCTCCATTCTTTGGAGGAGATTTCCAGCCAATACGACCTCACTCGTAGAACGTGCTTGAGCAAGACATTACTGAAATCGAGACCAAAAGCTTCACGCATATAATCATCACAGAGGGCATTCCGTATCCAGTTCATGATCCAATCAAGTCGGAGTCTGGGGCCACCTGGGAAGACACAAAATTGCAAAATAACAAAAACTGCTCATAAAATGAGTTATACATCATGGATTTTCTGGAAAAAGAGAAGTCTCCCTGCCCCTCACCAGAGCACCCTTATAGACCTGACCTCTCAAACGATGAAGTGCACCATATATCAAAGACTTAGACATCTACATTTACTCTGGAAGATCATCTCCACAATAATTTAACTTTTTTTTTCTCCCTTTCGCTTTACTCTAATCGCTGTCAAGTGAAGAGCCAAATTCATGGAAAAAAAAAAGTACCGTAAAATTCAGGCTCCAAGACGTTGACAAATGTGAGGCAGCGTGGTGGAATCAGGCTCTCGTCAATTTTTGGGCATGTAGAGTTATTGGTATCATCTTAAAGCTTGTTTACTAGTTTGTATTTGGTTGAAAAAAAATATCCATTTATCTTGAATACAAGTCGAGACATTGGCAAATGAAGGCGGTGGGGGTCACCTGGTTTCAGAGGTAAAAGTAGTGAGAAATTTGCCACCAAAGATTAGTTATTTCCTTAGCTTCAGAGTCCGTGGTAACTGAAAATTTACATTTTTTGTGCCTTCAATCAACGTCTTTCAGTCAATTCCACACAGAAATGAGTTCTTTTATGGGAATTAAAGGTGTTGAGCCAAAAAAACAAAAATTCAATAAAAATTCACAAACCTGCGGAAAAATGCCACTTATCTTCACTTTGATTATTTTGACGAGAGCCTGATTCCACCACGCTGCCTCACATATATTTTCCTCAACACAATACTTTAGCGTACACCTCAGAAACACGGTCCAGCAGACGGGAGAGTACTTTTCGAGACCCCGGAATCTGCTGTAGCTTATTTGTGAAAAAAGTTAAGATTTTTACACATTTAACGGATGTGCTGTTTATCATAATACTGGTGCACTCAATAGCCCGAACTTTACCGTAAATGATGAGCACACTATGAATCAAGCATCCACGGTTTCTTACGTTCATTTGCTGTCCGGATGACAAACATGAAGAGAGCAGCCAGCTCAAGCTTCTTCTTATCCCTGTTGTTCAAGGTGGCGGCCGACTGGCTCTCCTTGGCAGTCTGCAGGAGGGATGTCTCTAGGTCCACATATTTCATTACACCCTGCCAAGAAACAGAGAGAAGAGAAAATCACTTTACTATGTTTTCAGATATTCCTTGTTTGACGTGCTCAATGATATATAGTATATAAACTGGGGAAACCAAAGAATTCAAATGCATAAAAACAAACCAATGCAAAAATACCACAAATAATTTTATTTCATATCATGTTGCAACAAGACAGACAATGAATGCGTTGTGACCCACTACTTTCTTACCTTCATTTTCTCAAGTTAATGTACTTCCTAAAGTGTTCAGAAATATATTTGACGTAAAATCTTGATTCCTGTACCTCTACAGATTAAAAAATCTTTACACACATTACATTTTGTTCATTTCAAACTTTTAAACTTCTATTTGTTTCATTTGCATAAAAGCGCTCATTCATATACACACACTAAAGCATACATACACACATACACACTCAAACGCAGCACTCAGAAATGTTTACCTTTAAGACAACATTCCAGGTCAGCGTCTTACTACCGGGACTATGATTGTCTGAGTTGTCATCTAAAGTCTCAACAACTGATGAATTACTCAGCAGATTTTGCAGCTTTGCAGCATTATTCTGGAAAAAAAAAATTCATCAAGACAGTATTATAAACAAAATTTCAGTAATAAGAAACATAGCAGTTACAACTTACCTCAAACAAAATTCTATTCTTTATTTTTTAAAATTATAGTAGAGGGTTTTACGGCGCTCACAACTGCATAAGGTCATATGAGCGCCAAGGGGTGGGTGTCAACAGAGAAGTCTTTACAGGGAATCAGACTTACTCTGCTCACCTCTCTAGCTTCAACAGCTCAAGGTCTGCTTCAACTATCAAGGCACCTTGGAAATAGCAGGTCACAAGAGTGTGACAAACATACAAAAGAAGTAGAGGAAAATGACAATAGTAAGGATCAGGAAAGAAAAAGCAGCAGTTCCCAGTTGTAGACCAGGCACTGTTATGAGCGTGACATGAATCAGCCCATTTATAATTCTACCGTGCTTGAACGAGAAATGTCCCCCCTTTGGGAATGGCCTAAAGACACTTCAGTCAGTGGCACTGCCCTGGG